TCTGGATTTTGGCCAGGGAGCCTGGCATCAGGATGCAAGTCTGAGCGATGTTTGTTTGCTAACTATTAATATATCCAACAAGGCACACTGTTATAGATAAACAATTTTTTTTTACTGAGACTGTTTTAATTAACAATGAAATTAGGCTTTTATCCTCTTGTAGGATAATCCATTTTTAGCCATTATAGATTATCAAAGACAGAAAAAATGTATACACACAAAACACAATGTGTTAGAAATCGTAAGTCCAAGTTGAATAAAGTGATAAAAGATTGTCATTGGAGCTGGCTACAACTTGATGTAAGTGTCAGGTAGGTGCAAACACTTCAATCTACAGAGATGGAATGTTTTGGCAAACATTGGAACATTTTGTTCATACTCTTGACCATGGAAATTTGGCAGTTTTCTGGAAGGACATATTTCAAAACATAAAAATGACTCATAGTGTTCTGGATGGCACACAACCAGAATATCATCAACCACTTCCTATTTTACAAGATTTATTCCAAGACAACTGCCAGATTGCCTCAGAGCAGCCAACTGACATGTCCAAAGGAAGAATGGAAGTTCTGGGTAAAACTGGAGCACCCTATCACTGGAGATGGAATGTTAAAGGATACTAATCACATGCAATACACTAAGTTAAATCTTTGTGCAGCCATAGGCTAATAGTCAAATGGCCTAAGATGACTGAGAGTGGTGGTTTCTGTACACAGCCAGAATATGCACCACAACTACGAAGTCATTGAATAAAGGAAAGCTATTACTTATATGAGCCTACCCACCACCCTGTTCAGATGTGACGCACAAGCTGAGGCGTGTCCTGGATTCACAGCTCCTGCTTGAAGAGCAGGTGGCAGCTGTAGCCAGGGGGCCTTTGTAAAACTATGTCTTGGGCACCAATTGTGCCCATTCCTGGACTGGGAGGCACTGCTCATAGTCATTCATGCCTTAGTCACTACCAGTTAGACTACCGCAACATGCTGTACACAGGGCTGCCCTTGAAGACCATCCAGAAGCTTCAGTTGGTCCAAAATGCAGTGGCACAGGTATTTATGGGTGCATCTCTTTATGCCCATGTAACACCGCTACTCTGAGACCTGCACTAGCTTCCAATAGGCACCCAGGTGTAATTCAAGGTGCTGGTTATCACCTTTGAAACCCTACATGGTATTTGACCAGGTGACTTGCAGGACCTCCTTCTCCCAAGAACATCTGCCTGCCCCACATGCTCCAGGTTCCTTCTTTTAAATCTTGTCATCTTATGGGACCTAGGAAGTATGCCTTTTCTGTGGTTGCCCCTGTTTTCTGGAATGATTTCCCCCCTGATATATGACAGGTCTCAACTCTGCTTGCCCTTAGGAAAGCCATTAAGACCTGGCTTTTCCCCTAGGCATTAAGGGCCAGTTGAGAGGAGTCCCCTTTTAGTTACTCAGTTATGGTGCTTGGTTGCCATTTTTATATTTTGTATTTTATATTTAGATATTGGTCACGTTTTAATGTTATGTGTGTGTTAGGGGAAGGGGGTTTGGTTTATTGTTTGCTTTTTGTTGTATGCCACCCAGAGTCACATTGTTTGAACTGGGCATCCTTATAAATCTAGTGAATAAATAAATAAGCCTAAGTAATCCTTGAGTAAAAGAAAAAAAATGTTCATAAGCAAAACCTACTGAAAGCCACATAACTAAGCACCAAATTATACTGGGGAAAAGGTAAGATAGGAACAGCTTACAGAATAGTTTCACTGGAGTTAAAAATCTTAGAAGACTTATTGCCAGGGCAGTCTAAGATTTGCAAAAGCAAAGTCTCATAAGCCAAAATCTAAATGCTTAAAGTCAAATAATTGATCTTAAGCCAAAGTGGTACAGGTAGTCTTCGCTTAATGACCACAATAGGGGCTGGAAAATTGATCATTAAGTGGGGTGGTCATTAAGTGAGTCACCACATGATCAGACCCGATTTTACAACCATTTTTATAACAATTGTTAAACAAATCACATGGCTGTTAAGCGAATCACATGGTTATTAAGTGAATCCAGCTTCCTCAATGGACTTTTTTGCCGGAATTTGCTTAATGACAACATGATTTGCTTAACAACTGTGGTGATTTGCTTAATGAACATTGTAAAAATGTCACAAATAGTGATCACATGACTGCAGGGGGTAGTGCAACAGTTTGTGACAGCTGTAAGTGCAAGTACAGCTCATAAAGCACTTTTTCCGAGGCTGTTTTACTTTCTAACCATCATTAAATGAATGGTCGTTAAGTGAGAACTACCTGTACAATTAAACCATAGAGTCTTCAGATACCAGATCTTCAGGCCTAGGGGAGAGTCTACAAATGCAACGCCTGTGACAGTTCAAGTGTTTCAACAGTGGAGTCAGCAGAAAGTAGAGAGATTATCGGTACAAGAAAATTAAATTAAAAGCAATAAACTTCCTGTTCTTATGCTATAGCTCCCTCATCCTCTTTCTTCTCTTAGAATTCCCTCTGCCCCACAGAATACCATAGAATAAATATTCCCCAAAGAGTAGCATTTCAGCTATTCTTCAAGAGATTTACACGCTCTCATGAGTTCACTCAATATCCGAGTTCTCTTGATATGTTACTTTGAGCAATAGGCAAAAGGAAGCCGTTCCAGCATTACCGGGGAGTTGAAAAAGTCAAAGATGTCAGCCACAACTGTGTGATCAAAGCCCTGCCTCTTTTTTATGCATGTCAGGAGGCATGATTGTAGCTGCCATTTTGACTTTTTTGATCATCCTCCCTAAAATAGCTGTGTGTTCATGTAATCAGGAAAGAGGAATATGTGTGAGCAGCTGCTCCTGTGCAGGACATAGAGGTTCCCCCACAGCAGTGGAGCACTACAGCAATCGGCAGATGCACTGGGTTGTTCATGATGCTGTAGACAAGGATGCTAATAGAGACATCAGCAGTTTTCTTTAAGAGAAAGCTAGCAAAAACTCTGGAACTTCAGAGCCATCCCACAGTATATTATTACTACATTCGGTCCATAAAAATCTGTAATCAGGGAGCTCCAGAAAAAATCATTCTCTGTCAGTCACAAAATGATACCCTCCCTTTCCCTTATTCTCTCTCCATCATGATGCGTTTTTATATGGAAAACCTGGGAAGAAATCTATCAGTTTCTGCAGAAACAATGTATTTCTCCTTCTTGGCCTCCTTGGGCTTTTGTACTCTACTGCTTTAAGCTGAGTATAGGCTGGCTGGAAATGAAACCTAGTTTTAAAAAATCCCTTTTCATATTTCAGTCCCGTCCACCCCTTTGGCCCAGGTGATGGCCTCTTGGTCTGTTTGCACCACATTTACCATGGCCCCTGATTAGTGGATTCTCCTGCCTCTTTACCCCTCTTGGACTGTGCTTTGTTTTTTAAAAAAAAAACAATTTGCACTTCACTTAGGCTAAAAGAGTAAACTGACAAAACTCTTGTCAATTTCATATAATTAAAAAAGAGAGGGAGAAAGAGAACTTGTAAAACATATAGGTGGTATTTCATTGTTTCATAGTGAAATTGTATTTATCTATCTATCTATCTATCTATCTATCTATCTATCTATCTTACAGCTTTTCACTTTTTATTAATGAACTTGTTTTAAAAAAATGGTCATGGAGCCCAGGGACCAGAATGGAGGGGGTGTTCCTGCCACATTAACAAAAAGGACATTAACCTTTTGCATTGGAGGTGGTATCTACAATAAAATGAAATTCAGTAGGCAAACTGGACAGAACTGTTTGAGCCAGCATAAACCAGAAAACACCAATGTTGATGTGTGGTAGAATTGATGGAGGTCACCTTTCCAGTGAGCTGAGGGCAGGTCGAGGATGACACTGTGCATTCCTTCTCTCAGGGAATGGTCAGTGGCCTTGTTCATGCTGGGGAAAGATGGTCATGTGGATAAATCCTTCAGTTCCATGTCATTTTCCAACTAGAACAACCTCTGGAAGAGTTTGAATTTTGGAAGAATCCTGTCTTATTCAAACTGCTCATTCTTTTTGAATTAGCTTGATTCAAAGCACACTTTTTTAAAGAAAGGGTTACAGATCAGAAAGCCAGCCATCACTTGGGAGGTAAAATCTCAACTAATTCATAATAGTAAGGTAATGGAGCTGGCTTCCTCAACCTGCTACTTTCGTTATATTGGACTGGGTGAAACGGTAGGACTTGTCATCCAACACATCTGGAAATCATCTGAATGGGGAAGTCTGCAATAAACACTCTCAAATTTGCTTTAAGATATGCACTTTATTTTAGTTTGTTAGTAAGGTTTTACAGGATTCAGAAATATTAATAGGAAAATAGGAGGTATCATTCAGTGCAAATGCATAAAGTTTTTTTTTTTTTAGTGTTCAAACTCTCATGGGTGATTTTCGTAAACTGCATTTGAAGATGTGCATGCCTGAAATTGCAGACTTCACAATTTGCACTGTATTTGAAAAATGGCAGAGATGAGATGGCTAAATTGACTTCTTTGATCAGAGAAAAGACAATATCTACATTTATTGCTGACTGAAAACTCCTTGTGGACTTTTTGTGTAAAACAGAAAAAATGAACTTAGGATTTATGGTTTGATGATTAGACAGGATAGATTATAGAAAGAACTGAGTTATGCTGTAAACTCAGAGTAAGTGGTAAATTTATAATTGTACTTTTAACTGCTGTAAAGAAGATCAGAAGCTACTTCTTTGTATCTTTTTTCTTTCTTTTCTGTTTTCTTTTTTTTTCTTTCTTGCACTTTCAGCTTTCTCTTTGATTCCTTTCTTTTTCTTTTCTTTTTATTAGTTGATATTAGTTTGTATTAGTTTTTATCTTCCTTTTTAAAAATCTTTAAGTGTGTGTGTGTGTGTAAAAGAAAAATGGGAGGGGAAAAAAGCTGGAAGGAACAAGAAACCAGATATGCAAATGCAGCAGAAGGTGCGTGATTGTGCAGATCTTTAAACAAGCCATACTTTGATGCATATCACAAGGAAACAGATTATACTAGCTTTGTAATTTATCATTTGTAAGTAAAAATGTAACTTTCTTCCACAGAATACCAGAAAAACAAATAAAGTTTTGAAATCTCTCTTTTCCCTTCCATTTTGCCTCTCTTTGTTTAAACTATCCATAATCTGTACTTTCTGATATTACAGCCTGTTTCTAAAATTTATCTGATTATTTCTCAATTTGGGATTGACTTTCATTTCCAAAATTCTGTGTAGAGAACTCTAGCTGATTTACTTATACTTTCTGAAATTTCTCCTCAAGTCAAAAATTGGATAAGTGTAGAAGGGGAGGATCGGGTGGAAAGGTGTGAATTTCTTTGCAGAACATTATGTCTGTTTACAGTCCAAACAAGTAGCTCCTTATGCTTGACTTTGAAGCTGAGGCCACCAGTTTCCAAAGTAGGCATGTATTTCTCCAGAATCCAGAAGTCTTGCTTTGTCTATGGTTGACTTGATCACCCTCTCCGGCTCCAAGGACTACAGAATCAGAGAGAGGAAGGGAGGGAAGGAGGGAGGGAGAGAGAGAGAGAGAGAACAGCCAATCAAAATAAATTATTTTTCTTTGCCATATACAAACTGAAAAGGTAGCTTATTCACTCTACCATTGTAGGAGTTAATGGAAAGATAGACACAGAAGCGGGAGCTGGCTTATTCTATGTTGCTCTAAAAGGAGAAGTTACAG